AAGGAATGGTACATGATATGGTCTTGGGGATGGACTTCCTGGCTTCTGCGTCAAGTATCTTCAAAATAGGGGAAAACAGAGTCAGACTTAGTATAACTGCAAATGTGAAACTAGAGATGGTAATGCTGAATTCTACAGTAAGTGAATCGAGCTAATTCCTAGCTCGAGAATTAGCGAAGTTCGACACTCTTAAAGGACTGTCCAATATCACCACACATTCCATCACCATGAAGGATGACAGACCGATTAAGCAAAGATACTATCCTCGAAACCCGGTTATGCAACAAATACTGGACAAAGAATTCAATGAATTACTACAAAAAGGTTGTATCGAATGCTCTCACAGCCCTTATAGCTCACCGGTGGTATTAGGAATGAAAAAGGATGACAGTTGACGACTTTGCATAGATTATCGTCAGGTAAATACACACTCAATACCAGATGCCTACCCAATTCTTCGTATACAGCACATTCTAGACCAACTCAGAGACGTTGGTCAAGTATATCAGCAGCCTTGATCTCAAGAACGGGTATTGGCAAATACCAATGGCTGAATAAAGTAAAGAATATACCGCATTTACAGTACCTGGACGGGGACTATTTCAATGGCGCGTGATGCCTTTTGGACTACATTCCGCGCCAGCGACATTTCAACGAGCGTTAGACACAGTGATTGCACCAGATATGGAGCCTTTTGCTTTCGCATATCTCGATGACATTATCATCATTGGTCATACACTGGAAGAACATATGGAAAACTTGCGAAAGGTGTTCCATCGACTAAGGTGTGCGAAACTGAAAATCAACGTAAAGAAATCCCAATTTTTCATGAAGGAAATAAAGTATCTTGGGCATTTGGTGACACCACATGGAATACACACTGATCCCGAAGAGATTGCAGCCATAAAAGAGTTGCCTATACCAAAGGACCTCAAGGAACTACGTCGGTGTATTGGAATCGCCTCGTGGTATCGCCGTTTTGTACCACACTTCTCGAATACAATACAATCCCTTACGATGCTATTAAAGAAAGGTTATTTGATGGCAGTGGACGTCAGAGCAACAAGAGGCGTTCGATATGTTAAAAGAAAAATTGACGAGTGCTTCAAATCTAGCGTGCCCCAACTTCACCGAAAAATTTGTATTGCAGGCAGATGCCAGTAATTTTGGACTAGGAGCGATACTGACCCAAGAAATAGCCGGCGAAGAAAAAGTCATAGCTTATGCAAATCGCCGTTTAAATCCAACTGAGAAAAGCTACTCGACGACTGAAAAGGAGTGTCTGGCGATCGTTTGGGAAGTAAGAAAAATGAAACAATATTTAGAAGGTTATCGTTTCGTAGTCATAACCGATCATCTGGCGCTGAAATGGTTGAACAGCATTGAAAATCCAACTGGTCAAATAGCTCGCTGGGCGCTGGAGCTACAACAATTCAATTTTGAGGTACAATATAGAAAATGGTAGTATAATGTCGTCGCGGATGCACTGTCTCGTCAACCTCAAACTACACTGGCCCTCTTGAATATGCCGGATACGACAAAAGAAGATGGACAGTCTTGTATATGGTTAACGAACTTGAGAAGAACAATAACCGATAATCCAAGTAAATACCCCGAATATACTATCGAAAATGATCAGCTGTACCGTCGTATACCCAACTCTTATACCACTCTTGCTGGAAACTGTGTGTACCTCAATACATTCGGCTTCAAGTATTAAAAGAGTGTCACAATGATATCACGGCACGACACTTAGGTAATCAGAAAACGATCCTTCGAGTTACATCGAGATACTTTTGGCCAGGAATGTATCGTGACATTAAAGAATATGTGCAGAAGTGTGATACATGTCAAAAATACAAGGTCAGTCAACAATCTGCGGGAAAGGTATTAACGAGTTTACCAGAAGAGCCATGGGTAACAGTATGTGCAGATTTTATTGGGCCCTTACTACGTTCGGTTAGAGGAAACACGATGGCTCTAATATTTTTTGATAAGTTCTCTAAATGAGTGGAGATCATACCAATGAAGAACGCCACGACGGCCGGAGTTAAAAAAGCCTCCAGAGAAAACATCATGGCGCGGTTTGGGATTCCGAAGATCTTGGTCACGGACAATGGAACACAATTTACGAGCAAGATATTTCAAAAATTCTTAGTCGAATTGGGCATTCAACATCAACATACAGCCCCCTACACACCTCAGGAGAATCCAACTAAACATGCAAATCGTACAATCAAACCAATGATCGCTCAGAACTCAATACTTGACCACCGACACTGGGACAAGTGTTTACCCGAAATCACGATAGCGAGATTTCAGTCCAGCATATATTACCCAAGGTAGAGAGCTACGAATGCCGAGTACATTATAACACTTCGTTCAATAATGTGTGTGACTGACACATAGATGGCGGCACTAATACTAAATAAATATTTTTTTTCGAAAATGGCAACCTTTTTAGGGTTACTGTCAAAATCATATGTTAATTCGACCATTTGTTTACAAGTTACAGTGCTTTAGGTGATGCTACTTTTGAGTTTTCAAAAAAAAATGAATTCAAAGCAATTCCGTGTGCTGATTTATCATTGTTTTTTAATGAAAAAAAATACTGTTCAATGCCAGGAATGGCTTGAAAAACATTATTCGGACTCTGCTCCATCAAAAAGAAGCATTTGTTATTGTTATGCCGAATTCAAACGTGGTCGTACAGATACCGATGACATTCCATCTACTGGACGGCCAAATGACGCTGTTATTCCGGAAAACGTTGAAAAAACACTGAAAATCATTATGTCCGACCCTAAAGTGAAAATGAGGGAGATTGCTGACATTCTACAGATATCAGCAGGCAGTGTACACACCATAATACACGAACATTTGGTGTTTTCCAAATGGGTGCCGCGTTTGCTCACACCGGAGCAAAAACAACAACGAATCGATGATTCAAAGAGCTGTTTGGACATGTTTACGCGCAATAAGTCAGAGTTTTTGCATCGGTACATCACGATAGATGAAACATGGATCCACCATTTTACTCCAGAGTCAAATCGGAAGTCTGCTGAGTGGCATGCAGCCGGTGAAAGCCGCCCAAAGCGACCAAAGACGCAGCAGTTGACTAGCAAGGTTATGGTGTCTGTATTTTGGGATGCGCATGGAATAATATTCATCGACTATCTCCAGAAGGGGAAGACCATCAACAGCGACTATTATATAGCGTTATTGGCGCGTTTAAAAGACGAAATCGCAAAGAAACGGCCTCATATGGCGAAGAAAACAGTTTTGTTTCACCAAGACAATGCGCCGTGTCACAAGTCGATGAAAACGATGGCAAAATTGAACGAATTGAGCTACGAATTGCTGCCACACCCACCATATCCTCCAGATCTGGCCCAGCGACTACTGGCTTTTCGCAGACCTCAAAAAGATGCTCCGTAGTAAGAGATTTGGCTCAAATGATGAAGTAATCGCCGAAACTAACGCCTATTTTGAAGGCAAAGAAAAATCGTTTTACAAAGGCGGTATCGAAAGATTGTAAAAGCGTTGGAATGATTGTATCTCCCTAAAAGGGGACTATGTTGATGAATAAAAACGAATTTTGGCAAAAAAATGTGTTTTAATTAGTTAGTCACACACATTATTGAACGAAGTATTATGATGCAGTAACATCAGGCCTTGGAAGAGCTACAGAATCTCCAGACAACAAAGCACTAAAGTTACTTGAAATATACACTATTGCTAGAAGAAACATGAGAAAAGCCTCACAAGACCAGGCCAGATACTATAACCTCCGACGATGGGAGTGGAAACCAGAACTCGGCACACTGGTACTTAATCGTTCACAACCACTATCTAACGCACTAGAAGCCCTTAATGCAAAATTAGCACCGAAATATTCCGGACCTTATGCAGTTATAGAGTTTGTATCCCCGGTCATTGTGAAGCTGCGTGAACTGCATTCCAATAAAATAATTTCTGCCCACCTAAGTGGAATTAAACAGTATCATTGTTAATTTAAAATTATTTTGTACCACTTACTTAATCTCGTTTATCTTTATAGTTGTAATCATGCTGAAAACTCGCAATCAGATGAGGTGAACGAGAGTCGTCTGGAAGACCTCCTGCAGATCACGGCTTCCCCAGATTGGTGGGACATACTACATACACCTCCACGAGTGACGAACAGCAGTGATTGCCCTCCAACGCCTCCCATTGCCAAGACAATTCTAAACCGCCAAGAAAATGACATCAAGCACTACCGCAAAAGAAGCTGGCCGTTTAAGTCAAGTGATACAGAAGCGAGAGATGATTACATGAACCACTTCGATGAACAGCGAGATATCAAACACTCTACGAGACAAACCATACACAACTGGGATAATCCACCAAATCCTCCATCCGCTAAAGCCATTCTACAAAAGCAAAACGCCCACGAGAACGCAAAACGCCACAGATAAACTGAATTCTGAATTAAGAACTTCTGAATAGCCCGGAGAGAATATAACAGAAGCAAGGCCATGATTTAAAGAAATGGTCCAGAGGCAGGCGACATCGGTTCAAGGCGACGTGGGACGGCAAAACTTGACTGATTCGTATTGCCACAAATGGAGATATCCGTATTGATATCGTCTCGTAAAGAAAGGAGGGAGTATAACGATTAAAATTTTTGAATAAATTTTAATGTTGCAACAATACGGTGAGATGATACGCACACAGTCCACACGTATGTTAAAA